ATGAGAGGGAAGTATTACATGGATAAGTTTTATAAAGAAAACTTTAAAACCATGAATCTTTACTAGAAAAGCAAGAGGTGAAAACCAAAACCTCTCAAAGCAGGGATTCTGAAAGGATTTGTACAATAAACAATGTAAATTTTATGGAAAGTAACTTCATCTTTCTCACACGAGAATATTATGAATGGGTTAGAAATTAATTAAAACTGATGAACTAGTAAAATCTATGACAAGATATTACAAGGAAATTAAAAAGATGAATAGAAGACAGGGTATCAGAAAGTAACCAGGACCAGACACTTAATCAGAGATGGTCCATCAAGCAAAACCAGAAAGAGTTACAAAGCTGAGGAAAGGATATTATGTAAACCACATCTACAAAATAATTACATTTTTAAAAAATTTGTTTTATTTTAATCAATAACGCAGTTGTAGAGTTCTCAGGCATTTCATACAGATCATCCAGAAGAACATACAGTGTATAGACAGAAATGTTACAATATGGAACAGGAAGATGGTGAACTAAGGATACTGTAAGGTATGCTACTCTCATGTCTGTCAGCTTTTGTAAGCTCAAGCTTATAGATGAAAACAGAGATTGGCTGGACCAACAAATATGGAAGAGGAATTAATTGTTGCTTACAAAACAAAACAAAAAAAAAATTATTAATTGCATTTGTTTTAACTAATGTTTCTTTTTTTTTTAGGAATTTTAATCATGGTGTTTTAGCAGTACAATATTTGTGGAAAGAAAATTGAAAGCTTCATATGGGAATCCTATTGAAACAAAGCTCCAGGTACACATGCACAACTATTCTTAATAATTATTTTTGCATTTATCCAGGAATAGACATTATCAGCAAGCAATTCTGAGCCACAGTAAGCCAGTCTGGCTTACATGTTCAGCATCTAGAATCTCACTATAGAGAATGGTTTGTTGTTAACTCTTAGAAAAATAAGTAGATGTTAAAAATGCATACAAAAAGATAAAACATCCACAAAATCAGATACGTGCTAACTGAAAAATAAAGAGGGAAAACATAGAATAATTGCATCGTGCATTTATGTTCATTATAAAGTGGGTTTGGATTTCCAATAAAGTTCACGACATGAAGTTAAGTTAAATATTATTGCAACATTCGTGAAAATTTTTTAAAATTTATTTTTAATTCTTTATAGGAGTAATTTTTGTAATTCCAGGAACATGAATTTTACTGCTAACATTTCTCTTAGCACAATGCATTAATATCCTTGTCATCAACAAATATATATATTATATTTTTATTTCCAGGGTTTATTTTTCTGTCAAGATCAGTCATTGAGTTACAGAATAAAATGGAAATAAATTCACTAGAAATACTTACCTTTAAGCACAGAAAATAACCATGCAGCAAAACTTCTTGATTCTTCTGTTATGACTGAGTGGAGTCCAACATCTGATCTATTTTAATTTTGGCAGTAACTCATATTAAACAACTTTTTTTGTCCGAGCAAAGTAAATGGTTTCATGAAACTAGGCTATTCAGCTGCATGAGGATTGGAAAGAGTTTACAGCATCTGCATCACATCTGGAAGCACCAAGGGAAAAGTTTCTTCCATGTTTAGAAGTTGTTAGATAAAAGAGTATGTAACCGTTTCTCCTCACTATACACCAACTGCAGGTATTTTAGACACTGCAGTAGATGACTTTCCCCCTGCATGTTTTTTTCAGTCTCCTGAGAGCTCTTCTATTTTGTGAAGCAGATTCTTCTTCTCTGTCTTCTGACATCCATGTAACAAGTACAAAGTTTCAAGATGCCAAAACAGTTAGTCCAATTTTTCTACAGCTGACAGTGAAATGTATTACTGTCATTCTTTCCTCTGTCCACTACCAAATACTATTCCAATAACCTCCTCTATCCTTCTGTTGAACAAGACTGAAGACACCAACAATTCAAATCTTCCTATCAAAATGTTTCTGCATTAATTTAAAAATTATATCCAAGACTCAGATGAGTCAAGATAATTTCCTTTGGAAAGAATAGTTTGAGGATAGGGAAGAATACTGAGAAAGTAACTTAAAAAATACAACATTGAAAAAAAATTGAATAAAACCACACAGTACTGATGAGACTACCCTGAATGGTCAAAGAATTAGTAACAGAAAAACATGATAGCCTTTTATTTTTGAAGTTTGTCTACACTGTAAAAAAATTTTTAAAAAAGAAAAATTATTTAATCTGAGCATCACTAATTGTTCTTGCACTGTTTAGATTGTTCCAGGTGAGACAAAGAGGCTGCTTACTGGGATTTGTGGGAGGTGATTGAACTTGTAGTTATGATTGAGAAGACTTCATTGCCTATATTCCTCCATTGTAGTGCTGATTTTATTGCCAATCTCATGGAAATACTTTCTAACAGCATTTTTTCTGCCTTTCAACTTCCTTCCTGACCTACTTCTATTGCACTTTTATTGACCCCATCTGTCCAAATTATGCCATCAGTAACTACAATATTTTTTCTAGGAAGATAATATAGGTATTTCTGGCACATGGATTTAACATACATTTGCCTGTTGTCATCATTTGTAAATAGATTAATTTCATCAGGTTCATTGAATTTCATGGTTTCTCGGTAGACTCCTTTTTGTAAGCATTTGCACCTTGAAATATGGCTTTAAGATAGCTGAAAGGAGAGCGGTATTGTGGGGGGGATTTCTTCCTGCTTTATTGCATTCTTTCTGTCATTTAGTGCTGCTGCCATTTTCAGAAGAAATGTATTAAAAAATCACACAACTCAAAAAAAATCATCACAATTCGAAAGCACCTTTGAATATACCACTGCATCTTAACATTTATTTTTTTTTAAATTGTGTAAGGACAGAATCTCCTCAGAAATACAAATCTTATAGAAACAGCAAACACAAAGAGCATGTACAGAATGTTAACAGCAACTCTGTCAAAGACAAGATCCTAATGATCCTCAACAGTAAACAGAACCAAGCCACATTTAAATAAGAATGGCTGAAATGACACAGTACAATCCAACACCTGTCATGAATCTTTCCCAATATATATATAAATAAAAATTATTTTTCAACTGCAATTATGGTCCTTCTCCAAAATAAATAAATTTTATGGATAATCTAACCTACTAGTGACAACCTTTATTTTTCTGGATACTGAAATGCTAGTTCTTTTTCTATGTCTTGAAATAATCTATGTAATATTAAGTTGTACCTCATTCACGCTGCTCCTGATATCCTTCTGAAAAGAAGGGCATTCAAAGCAGCGTTTATGTTTTTAAGGAAGAAAGAAAATAGTGGAGTCAAAAGATTTTCACTGTTGGTGAGTGACCACAACACTTTGCATCCTACTGACATGGTGGTTTACAACAAACTTGAATGTATGCAACTGAGTGAGAGAAAATTACGATACAGGAAAACACACATATGGAGATTGAAGCACTGTAATCAGGACTTTAATTGAATGCCTCTCCTGGAGGTTTTAGATATATTTTGTGTGATATGGGTCTAGAGGACTGTTGGATTCAAATGAGAAAAGACCATTACACAAGCAAAGAATCATTCCTTAATTTTAAGACTATTAGGATGCAAAAGAAAGCAAGTTTTGAGTTTTAATAATAAATACCTCAGAAATTGAACCAGATACAGACCGGCTAATTTCCACCCTTATTACACTTAATTTTAATTATATATTATCTACTTCTTATATGGGTAATAAATAGGACAATTAAATGATTGGTCTAACAATATTTCTTGGAGCTCATATGAGAATATACTTTATGCATAGTCAATATGTGTTATTACCCTCTCCTTGTTGCTCAGCAATTTTTCAGGAAGAATTTTTTTTTTTTTTTTTTTCTGAAGAACTGCATTCCTTCTCAGAAGTGCAGGAGCAACAGCACCACCATTACAAAATCTTGTTTGTTACTCCATCAGTCCAAAGAGACAACTGGAAGGGTTCTAAGCAAGTGCCTGCAAACCTTGTTAGAAACCCAGACATCTGGAAATTTAGAGCTGATTCAACACGTGCTAGGACTCATGCTCCTTGCAAGCTGTGCTAATACAATGCTCTGATTCAGTTTCCTTGCTATGGAAAATATCATTAGGAGGTCCCTGTGAACCCAAACATACCAGATCAAGCTTGCATTTGTGCTGAACTGTGTAAATATGTTTTTAATTGGAGAAGGTTTACACTCTTAGTCCACACATTCCCATACCACTGGTCCAATTCACTTGGGAGCAGGGATCCAGATATTCAGCAAATAACTTGTTTATATAACATAATGGGAGTTTAGTCACCACGAGGCTAATAGCCACTCACATTTAGACAACTATACCAGGAATCTTTATCTTAAATTTAAAACCACCTAATGGGATGTGCACACTCTCACCTGAGAAAATAATTGATTTGAGAGAATTCTACTAGGCAGTAGAAAGTGATAATCTGCTGCTTAATTTTGAGAATTTAAGACTATCACAAACTGTCTTCTCACTTCCATGCTGAGTCTTCAAACTCTTCCAATGACAACAAGGACAATCCCAATAACTTGCCATTGCCAATATAAGATCAAAATTTATTCTTTGAAACCAGAACCATCATGTAAACATAACATATTTACCTTATGTGAGCAGAAAATAAGCTTTCTGGAAGAAAATATTCAAGGTGGACTAAACAATCTCCACATAAATTGTTTTCCAGTGGTAATATGTATTACTTTCCAGTTTGTTATAATCAAGGTCAATTTACACATTCCTACTTCTAATTTTTAAGCTGTCATAACATGCTCGCAGACTGTTATTATATAGTCATTGATATACAAATATTGATGTGATGATTAAGCTTTCAGAAGCCTTTGGTGTATTAAAATGTACTCAGATCCTTAGTCATGGAGCACATCAATCTGATGCAATTATTAAATATACAAATTATCTAAAAAATTGTTATAGTTATTTTGCTGAAGAAATGGCTCCAGAATTTAAATTATTTATTACTTACCCCTGTTCTTTGAACTTCCAAGAAAATTGCTCTTTGAAATGATTTCTCCCACACTGCCAACTCGCTGCCCAGCTCTACATTGAAATAATGACTCTTGCCATGTCCAACCATAACACTGAAAGAATACGGCCTCTGGTCTTCAAGATCAAAGTCCTGATGAATACCTAAATACAAGTTTGCTTGTAGCCAGCAATCATCAGCAAGCCAGAGCTGAAAGACATGTTTCAGTACGTGATTCTTCATCTAGCAAAACCAGTTAAAGCAACATTGTCTTTTGTAAGTGACGAGCACTTGGGTATGTTATGTTATTATGTTAATAATTACCTTGAGGAAATGTTCTGAGAATTAAGTAATTATTCCAAAGCAAACTTCTCTCTTTGCTTCTTACTCACCTTACCCTGTATCATGTAATCCAAGCTACTTCTGCAGTTTCAAAATACTGTCAAAGAAGTTACCTAAACAATACATACATAATTTAAAAGGAGTTTGTAGAAATATATTATTTACAGTGAAAAGGAAGGAAATCCCCAAATTGTGTGAATACAAATCAAGAGCTGTCCACAATCTTTACAGGAGAATATAACTATTCTGTTCCAATTGGGTTCTGATATTCTAAACACCAAGGAATGCTGTAATTTATCAAGCACCCAAGGGCTAATTCTGGAAATGACAATGTGAGCTTTCAAGCGTCCCCTAATAGCTGCCAATGCTGCTCTGCAACTACATGGGGAGTGAAGTGAGTTCCTGCCATCACCTTCAAGATGGAGAAGAGAAACTTCACATTAGTCTTTCATAATGAAAAATATCAATGTAACAGAATGTTTTGTAAATGAAAACAAATTCTTACAAGAAACTTCCTTAATCTTTCAAGACTTCATTAATTAGAATAAATATATTGCACATTGTTTAAAATTTCTATTTATCAAATAAGGCCCTTTCCTATTTCAATTTCTCTATGATGGTATGAGGCAGAAAAGATTGAAAGAACAAAAAAAGTAATTTGCAAAGAGAATGTTGTTTCTTATTTTCTAAAGTTACCTATAAACAGAATTTTCTTTATCTACTACTCCAGGTTAGGTTCAGGAGTCTTGATTCTAGTCAAGAAGATCTGAGATAAAATCAGTCATGTTTAACTCGGCTTAGGTGGCTTTGAAAAGACCAGAATTCAGCTTTCCAGTGGTACCCATATCCTAGAATCTTGTAGTCAGGATAAGCCTTATAAAGATTTTGAATTATTTTTCCAGAACCTCTAATAGTCTATCATAGCCTATTGAGGCTATAGTTGAAACTCCATGCACATGAAAGCAGATGAACAACTGGAATTTGAGCACCCAAACATAACGTAAAAATTCCAATGCCAAGTAGAATAAATGCTTAAATGTTCATCAGAGGAAGCAAATGATCTGCTAGCACAACCTCCTCTGTGTAATGCTCTCATATTCACAAACAGGATCAAAATACTCATATGGGAACTGAAAATTTTGCTTGTGCTGGTGAATTACTGAATTACACAAAGCTAGCAATAACCCTATGCAATTTACTAAAGTTAAGCTACAGATGTTTTGAGGGGCACCTCAGAAGCTGAACATAATGCCACCAGGGTTTGCAGCACTTTGTTGTCAAAAGTGGCCCTGCAGCTACCTGAAGAGAGAACAGTCTTGAGGAAGTTCAAAGTTATTTTATGATGTTCATTTGGATTGGTGAAAAGGAAGCTGAACAAAATATCTGTGTATCATCTACTGTTCAGCAGCAATGGAGTGACAAGTATTACATCTACATCTGTTTCTAGACTCAGTGCTGCTCATCCTGGCTCATAGACTAGTATATTAATATGTTTTACTTTTCATGTGAAAATGGGATGTGTGAAAATACCAGACAAGAAAATAAAATAAAATGTTTTTAAGACAGGTGGCTTTTGAAAATGCATCTAATATTCTCGCCCCTAAAAAATACAAGTTTCAGTAACAGTTCTAGTAGATATGGACTATGAGGCAAGGTATAGGAAGAAACACATGAAATAAAAGAGATCACGTTTTCAATCATCTGGTTGTTACCACTAAATGTCCGTGAATATGCAAGTGCATGATATATATATATATGAATTTTAATTCACATATTTCCATATTCATGTTAGTGTATGCAAGTGTGTATTTATATGTATGTATACACACACACAAATGTAAAATCTAGCAAACGTTTTATAATGTAATTTCCCTATTGGATTCTTATTTTCCATGTTTAACTCATGTCATAATAAACATAGATGAGAAGCTTACAATTAGGTGAGTAACAAGTGCCCTTCTCCTTAAAATCCATCTTTCATGAGAAGACACAATAGCACTCTCCATCAGAGCTCTGTATTAGTTCTAACCAGCTTCTGAAAATCCTTAAGAACACCCTCCCCAAACAGCAGTTTTTACAACCTAAACTCCATCTTTCAGTCTGCAATGTAGAACTCTTAATGTCTTAAGATTTTTTCCTATCTGTTTGGATTTGTTCAGTTTGCCTCATTGTCATTTATACCAAAGAATCAACAGAAAAGAGGTTAAAGAGTTGAATTTGAGCCTTTGCACTTTAGCTAATGTATTCACGAAGACTGGCAATTAAGCATTCATTTATTAAAATGTCAAGAACATTAGAGAGTTGAATCTTGGGTAGTTTATTCCCTACTTCTTTTTCTTAATGAAAAAAAGTATCACGGAATTTGCTTTAAGGATACATTATCCTTGAAAGTACCAGAATATTCAAGGAAGAACTGAGTTTCAAATTAGTAGTAACATTTAAAGGAGAAAAAAACAAAACCAAAACCCAAACCACAACAAAATATTTTCAAAAGTCACAATGAGTATATATTTAATTGGTGCCTGACTTACTTATCAGGAAAAAGTAAATTTAAGAAAAAAGATTAAGGAGACGAAATAAATAGTCTGGGCCAGAACATCTGCTCTTTGATGCTTTCTCAATGATGGGCAGGACCTTAAGTTGCCCATGTGTACCCAGCTGGAAACATGGTCAAATGAAAACACTGCTATGCCTACAAGAATATGGTTGTGCTCCTGCAGCCTGCACTCTGGAGCTGAGATCAAGTCCCAGAGTCCAGGATTGTTATTTTCCTGGCATGGCACTGGTCAAGACCCTTCCCTCTCCCCATATCTGCAGATAAGGGAACCTTTCTCCCCTGTCCAGGGACAGCAGGCTTACAACACAGAAAAAACAGGCAGTGATAGGTTGCAAAATTGACAGCTGACATCAGCAGAAGCTCTTTTAGCAGCCAGGTGACCTCTGTAAAATGCAGATGTCAGTTCATATTTAAGATTTTTTTTCTAGATTTCTATCAAATTATGTGTGATCCTGGCTCTGTTGTAACTTTATAATTTTTTCAATTTATTTCAATTTTTATTTTTAAATCACTGTCAAGAAAATTGGTGTAGGAAATGTGCCCATGTATTTGAAAGTCAGTATGGGAAAAGTAGTTTGAGCAGTCAGGGCATGGAAACTCCCTGCCATGACATTCTTTGAAGAATTTGGTCATTTAGCACTACAGAGAACTCACCTCTATGTTGAACAGGGCAGTAAAGAGGAACGAAGTGTTATTGTCAGGTATATGAGTTTTTCTTTTTTTTTTTTTTTTTCCACTTTTCCTTCTGTAAGTTATCCTGTATTGTTCCAGGAAAAAACCCAAACCAACAAACAAAAAAACCCAACCCAAACCAAAACCAAAAATCCCAACAACCCAAACCCAGAAATCTTAAGCAGTTCTCCTTCAGCACAGTGTTAAGCCAGGATTTGTACAGGTAACAGAGCAACAACCTTCCTGTTCCAAAACATTAGTACATAGTCAAAAGAGGAACAGTAGAGGGTACGATAGCAGCTGGTGAGAACTAAAGTTTATTTGTAATTTTTCAGAGAAACAGCATTTTTTCTGAGAAGACTGATTTTATTTTATTTTTTTTCCACCTGATAATACGTTTGATTTTACTCTCTTAGGTGAGTAGGCTCTCATCTAGACTTACCTAACTTGCAAAGCAGTTTTTCCTTAGCTGGTAGAGAACTAAATTAATCAATTTATGTGATGCAACTTATTAGAAAGTATCTTCTGTACATCAATTATTTAAACAGACTGTTAAGGTTTTGCCCCAAATCCTTGCCAGGGACAAGTTATATAGAAAAAATTACACTGTCTCTAGGTGGTGGAAACAAATGAAGAAATCTGTGGTACACAAATGCACCATGTTGCCCTTTGTAAGATGAAACCCACTATAATATCTGCACATGACCTCAAAAGGTCATAATTTTATACTGCTAATTGCTGAAGTTAAATAAAAGTATCTTTATAGATCAGGAATTACAGCAAAAGCATTCTGCATCATATTCACTTAAAAATCTGAGCCTCTAAAAAAAAAAGCAATATCCAGCTTTGTTATGCTTAGCTGTGTCTCTCACCTGTATTTCATAGGACCAGCTCTAGTACTGGAAAACTTTTTAAATATGGAAGCATTTTAGTAACTTGCTCCCTTGGAGCTTAATCCATACTCTCTTATACTTGCATAGCTAATGCACTAGCCTTTGCAAATAGTTTTTTTTTTTTTTTTTTAACGAATTAATATTTCAATGTTAGCTACTCCTGGTTAAGATTAACTTGAGTTTATCATTAACAGAAAAGGCAAGCTATCTTTACAGAATAATATCACTGTAATCGTTAGGAAACCTACCTTGTGAATTTTAAATAGAACCTCACAGAGGTTATAGATTTTTTCAGCTCGTACCCAGTCTAGTGTGCTTACCTATAATATAAAAAAAAAAAAAAAATAACACATTCTTTATTTTAAAATAATGTACAGATGATTTCTACTGGATGCTCTAAACACAGGCACATTACTACATTTAATATCCAGCATTTAGAAAAGACTGTCAAATAGCATTCAATCTTTATAGAAACAGCATCCCCAGGAGTCTTTCTATAATTAAAAGGTATTAATTAATTTCATTACTATTTATCCCCCTTATTCTTACAGTATGATGCAAACCTCTCTGCAATCTCTGTGGTGGGTTATATAAGCATATTTAATTTCCAATATGCTAACAGAGAGAACCCAGTCACAAACCCAGAGTCATTCAGCTTCACGTGTCAATTTAAAATCAACACACCAAGTTGCATTCCTAAATTCAGATTTGAGTTTACATAAACTAGGGCACCAGTATCTTAATACTTATATTAAAAACTGAAAAATACCATGTGACTGCAATATTTGTAATTAAGAAGAATGTCAGCTGTGTGCTGAAAAATGAATACGAAGACATATTTTTTTGGTTCCTTTTTATTTTTTTACTTTATCCTGTTCACATGACAGTCTGATACAATTTGACAGTTAGAACAATATTTGAAGTTTTTCCCTAATGTCTAGTTCATGATATGTGATAATCTGTTTTCCTTCAAAAACAGTACATAGACTAGGTAGTTCAAGGAAAAAAACCCAGTACCTATACATAGAAAAAATACAAGTGGAATACACATTATTTTGATTATATATTTTAGAGCAAAATCCTAGCTCTTCATGAATGCACAGGAATGGCTGCATAGACGTATGAAGACTTTGACTAAATTGTAACTCTGAGGCTTTTAGCACATGGTAATGAGTGTTTTGGTGACTTTAACAGCAACTTGGATATTTAAAATACTACATCAGATGTAGCTTTTCCTGTTCCCGCCTCCCTTCCAAAAGGAAGAAAGCAGAAAAATTAAATTACTTAAGTAAAGTAAAATCTGGCTGTAAAACATATAGCTTCTGTGGATAAAAATTAACTAGGAAAAAAAATATGAAAATCAATAACATTATTTTTCTCTGTATTCAGAGTAGCACCTAGTTCACTTAAAATAATTAATCATGTTCCTAATGTTTTGCATGAAGATCAGCATGATTTTTTTAAATTTATTTTTAAGTTGAATTTCTAGGTTTTGATAAATTCTAAACCATTAAGCAAAATGGTAATAAAATGGTGAAAATGCAAATCCCTACAACACTTAAGACTGATGTGACTTTAATTAGTTATTAAATGTTATTTCAGAGGCTGCAGTTGGAGGAGTGAACTTGGTGTTAGTTTCTTTCTAATCTTATATGCTCTTATGTCCACTCCAATCGAAACTAATGAACATTATTATTAAGTAGACCTCATAGCTGTGTGTTTCAAAGCAGTGTTTCAAAATTTACCTGAATACTTTCTTCTTAGTGTGGAAAGCATCCCACCTAAATTTCGTCACCAGACATATCTAATCTGAACAACCTAATTTAATTCTTAATAATCTAATCTTAATTTCAACATATTGGGAAAGAAGAAAAAAAAAAAAAAAAGAAAAAAAGGCAGTGATTTATCCCAGTTTCTCTAATTTTAGATTAGATCTTTACATTCTAGATGACTAAATTTAGATGAGATGAACCACCTATTCCAAATGGGACTGAAGACCTGTGGAAGAGAAAGTTCTATCATCACATCTTTTCAGGATATAAAGCAACTTATGTTCCAGGGTTCTCCATTTGACAGTTTTTATATTGTAACAATTGAATGACAAACATCACTTGAATATAATGCATGCAGTAGAATATGTAAAATCATGTTATATATTTAATCTTTCTGTTTTATTATAAGCAATTTCTCAATATAAATTAAAGCTCTAAACATTACATATAGCTACCTTTAAGAGTACTTAGTACTACTTTAAAGGAATTTTGTCAAATTTAAATCTAATGTTAGTTTATTTAGGAAATGTATTTAAAGCAATTTTAGATATTACCCTTGTCCTCCCATTACTTCATAAAATGTAGCAATTTTTAGAGTCATACATTTCTGATTTTTAGATTTCTGTTACTGTTTTCCTTCTAGTAAGGTCGATTCAATACTATATTTCAGTTCTGCTTTTTATTTATTGCTAAGAGTAAGCAATAACACAAGTTTAGAAACAACTGAAACTGAAGAACTATAAAGCCGAATCATAAAGAAATATTATACATTTAAACATGCTCACACTGAGCAAGTACAGCAGGTGTTTGCTTAATCCATATTTACAGGGAAATCTTTTTTACTTTGATAGCTGTTTTGAAAAGAAAATAATTAAATAATATAGGTTTTGGCCCACTACTGCTGATCTTCAAAAGGGATCTTTATGCTTCTTGCAAAATGAGATTTACAGACTAGAATGGTGGCTAGTTCATTATTTGGTCTTGAATTTCTCAAAGGGAAATATTCTTTTCAATCTCAGTTAAAAGCAGGAGAATCCTTCTTTCCTATTAGTGGCTAGACAAGATATAAAAGCATAAGCACCAATTTAATCTTCTGTTTGTGAAACTGAATTTAGTGACACAGGCTATAACCTAAAAGCTGTTGAGATATGACTGAACTTTCATTTCCTCGTATTACTTGTTTTGATTCCTGAAGATTAATTTAAACTGTTGGGGTTCTCTGCTGCTATTAATGATGCTACCATGCACAATGGTGACACTGCTGCGCCATTAAATTCACTCAGAATACTTCAGCCTTCTCCCATTATCCTGTGCATCTCTTTCATCCTTTGATTCTCTGTAACCTCTTACAACTTTTTCAGCAGAGACAGCTGGTGATGATGATAACTGTCGGCACCTATATAAGCCAAGATTTTCTTTTACTGTGTATGTCAGAGAAAGGCTATCATACTTAAAGCCAAGACTGAAACAGTGAATATCATAGTGTGCAAGGTCGTCAGGAGAACACAAATGACATGTTGAGACGGATTTTAAGGAGGGGAAACAAACATACTACAAAGGGATACTAGAATCCAAAGAGAAAACTGACATTATTTATAGTTTTCTCAGAACTATCATAGTATGTCCAAGTTTAAAATGTTATTGTTATAGACTTCATTGCTTTAAAAAAAAAAAATCACAAATCATATACATCTAGTCAATGAGAAAAGCTGGAAAGAATCAGGAAAAGTTCACAAAAGTGCAATATCCTTCATTTGCTTTAAAGGAGGTTTCAGTTTATTGCAGGCTTATCTATCATCACACATTCAATAACTGGGTAATGATAGGTAACTAAGATAAACGAGATACTGAAATATACTCCTTAGGCAATAAAAATTTTTCTCATTATTTTGCCTTAGAATTTTTCCTGTAGGTAGTCTATACATTGCATTTCCTGTATTTTAGCATGACAAGATAATTACTTTTTAGTAAAGCATTTGACAAAATGTTTCAAAAAATGTATATTATGAATAGGTTCCTTAATGAGACAGACTTTCATTCATATTAATTGTTTTGATAACATGTTAAAAACAGTGTTGAAATACATGAAAGTACCAATTAGCATTCATTTAGCTTCCACTTTAATTCTTGTCTAATACAAAAATTTATGACCAACAGTAGCTGAATGCTACTATTATTATTGGAAGACCAATTCCTTAGCTAACTCAATGCATTATGTGATGTATTGAATACTCAGTTCTGTAGATATTTGGCTATACTAATCCTTTCAGAAAGAACTGTAAAATAACATATTTGTAAACTCACACATAACACTGAGCTGATCACTGATATAATAAAAATGAACAAAGATAGAAAGATAGAAACCTGAAGTTACAATTTTAAGTCCATAATGAGAGACTGAAATAAGTATGTAGAGTTATAAAAGTGCTAAGCATTGCAGAAGTACTTTCTACTTCAGCATGAGTTTCTGTAAGTTCCTCATGTTTTAAAAACAGACATTACAGTGGATTTCTGAAAATAAATAAACTATTAAAATCTGGATTTACTTAGACCAAGCAATCCCAGCATTGGTTCAGGCTCATATTCCAAATATACTTAGCTTTAAATGTGTGTGTTAATAATTGATTTTTCTTTAAAAAGCTATGAGGAATATAGAAATAATATAGAGGAGAAAAAAAAAGTTAAATTAATTTTGACTCATACATGTAGTAAACAACAAACTGAAAACCAGTTACTCCCTAGAAGAAAAATCTGCAATTATAAAATAAGCATAAAGTACTTTAATACCTATTCACAGATCAGCACTAAAGGATTGACTAGACATGAGAAATAAATAAGGGATGCATGTAAAAGACAATCACACTTTGAAACTCACTGAAGTCAAAGGGAACGTAACATCATTTCTATGAACACTGAATCCGATTCTAGAAATCTCCAGTGTCCCCCAAAATATATATATATATATATATATATATATATATATATATATAATGCATTTAAAGAGTAAAACTCAAGGAAAAAAGAAGATCAAAGTGGTTGTAATACTTATCAGTGCAATACAAAGAATGTTGCATTATCTGACAATTAAGCAGAAGCATCCAACTCACTTAGAAGTACTAAAAAGGGCTAGGGAAAATATTAAATACTTTTAGGTCAAGGGTAACTAATTTCACTGGAAAAAACAAGCCAAGTATAATTTTGAAAAATTATTAAAACATATTAAAAAGAAAAAAAAAATCAAGAAATGTCCTTGAGATGAACTATGACATAGCAGTATAAGATGCCTACAAACATCCAAAACAACTCGATGGTAAAAAACCACACACTAAAGAGCAGTCAGATCCTAGCAAATATGCAAACAAAATAAAGACAGACTTGTGTGTAGAGTTAGAAAATTCACCAAAAGCATTCACGGGCAAGTCTATGCCCTCCAACTCATTGCAACCTCTTTCCAAATATGTCACATTGACATTATGTATAATGTAAATTACAAACAGAAGTAGGTAGAACTCACACAGCAGTACTCTCTAACATTCAAAGCACTGCTCATGTAGTAATTACATTATGCAAACTTTTCTCCTCTGTAATGTTTTTCAAAGGTGGAACTATTTCTGTTACTTTCACATTATTCTTCTATTTATTCATTTGCTTAAAACTATAAGCAGCACATACAGTGATTGCTCAGATGCTTTCACATAAGCCACTTCACTATCATTTATTTAATCATGTTGAAAAATATAGTTTTGTAATTGAACTATGAGGAAGACATAAAAAATAGCTTATTCTTGAATGACAATTTTGAATAATGTCTCCCCAATTTCTTCTGAAATATAAATTCAGAACCTTTTCAAGATCTGAAAATTGGCAGAATGTAATAAAATACTGCTTGTATATTAACATTGACACAAGAATAATTTCTGTTTGTGCAATGGTGTTTTTCACATGTGCAGTTTTCAGAAATGTGTCACAATTCTAATATACCAGTTTGTAAATGAAACCTGTAAATTTCTTAAATGCAGTCAGATAAGCCACTTTAGGGATGCAGAAAGATGTAAAGTTATGGGTAAGGTCATTACAACTAAAGATAACTGTATGACTTGTAGGTAATCTACTCTGTGCACATTACATTTATACACTGATACACTACATTGATTCAGTATGCAAACAGCAATACCATCATAGAAACATCTTTGAAATAAGACATAATGTTAAACTCTTTTAAAGATCAAGCAAGTTAAAACATCTGTATTTTTGTGATAGAACAATCAATTTTTTAATGTTTCACTTAATATAGTAAAAAAAAGTCAGTGGGAGTAATGGTAAGAGCAGTACTATAATATCTCTAAAATAGTGAAACACTGAAAATGTACAGATTTGTGTGGGCACCTGTTTTTCCTGCTACAGAGCTGGGACATGTGACAAAGAACCAGTGTCAGGGCACAGCGTGGGTTGGTGGCTCCCTGGGTGTTGTGGGAGCTCCCCTGGGGTCTGGCTGGGCAGGGTCCTCGCCAGCACCCAGGGCCCATCCCATCGCCCTGTAGTGGGTTGACCCCATCCCACAACTAGGCACCCATACAGCTTCTCCCTAACTCCTGGTCCCCCCCCCCCACAGTGTGATGGGGGAGAGAAAAGGAAGAGGAAAATTGTGGTTCAAAATAAAGACAGTTTATTAAGTTACAGAAGTTGGGACCCATGGCTGGGCAGGATAGGAGCTGAAGACTGGCCCTGATGCACTGCTGGGGCAGGGGCTGATGGCCACGGTGGGGCTGCAATGGGGTCCTGGGCTGCAGGAAGGGTGGGGGGAGGCCCAGGGAAGAGGGTCAGGGACATTCAGGGCTGGAGGTGCTCTCAGGACACTGATAATCATCTTTGAAGAGTGGCTTTAGATCCAGGTTCGAATTCTTGAGGTGGGTGGTTGCTGGAAACTGCCAATTTCCTATGTTGTTTCCCCCTCCCTCTTCCCCCCCCCCCCCCCCCCCTTCCAATATAAAGCATCTGTGGAATAACTAAATAGCAAGAAAAGTGGTCAACAGCTTTAACAATTTATAGGCTCTGTCACAGTTACTGGTGTATCTGATTACTGGGATGACAAAAAACATTGACCAAAGGGGTGCCCTTTGTTCATTTATTTGAAGAGCCACTGTTTTGACAGAAAAATTGTGCAGAAAGTGTAGTAGATACTGACAAGTACCATGGTATGAATACTACCAAACATTCATCCTCACTTGTCTGTTCTTAGAGCGCTGAACATGATGAATGAAATAGTTTATCTCCAATTAGTATCATGTAGATGGATAGTTTTAATTATATAAAAAATGTTTTTTCAAAAACAGATCTGAAAACAATAATTAAAATTTATAAAGGAAAAGTATTCATGTGGTGTGTTATTTGTTTAATATTTTTGTATTGTTTTTGCATTTTAATTTGATTGTAGTAATTGAACCAAATTTTAGTTCCTTGACTTAACATATAGACAAATAATTTTTTAGAGGGGAAAAACCCCACTTTTCCCAGATGTGTTGTCTCATTTTAAAAAGAGTACTACTGGATTTTTAAAATGTTTGAAGTTAATAGGAATCATTGGATTTAGAATTTCAATCTAGAGAGAGGGAAAATGTTACCGATTGCTTCTCATTGATGTACATAAATAAGGTCTGAAGTTCCCAAAGGTACTAGAGATGGTACACATGTAAAGGATCAGATTTTGTTTGGATCAGCTGAAGAAACTGGGAGACTGACCACCTACTGAACAAACATGTAAGGAAGTTGTACAACTGAAACTGAATTCTAATTCCACATTTTATTCTTTCTAATTTGCTTAAAGCAAAGGCTCTCTGGAGAAAAAAGAAAGGATAAAACAATACCATGTGGTAAGTATAGGTCACTTTTTAAGAGTTTAGAATTTTACAGCTCATTTATGTTTTATTCTTTTAAACTGATTTTTATTAAGTTTTTGGTTTTTTTTTTTTTTTTAGAGAAGAGTTAGATAACTCCTTTGTTATGAAATAGAATTCTCATTACCAGCTATGTAAATTATCAAAACAAGATGCTGTCATTTGTTCAAACTGTACAGTTAGCATTTGATTCTCTGTAACAGTTTAATCCCTTGCCTGTGTGCAAAATCCACAAGTATCTACTAATAGTATGGATGGTATATTTCATGATGTATCTTGTTTTTGAGAAAACAGAGTAACTACCAACATATTACACCTACAAAATAATTTAGAATAAGTAAGGTAAGAAATATTGGGCCTAACCAACCAGAGAAAAATCTGAACTTAATGGCTTTAAAAAGTAAAACATTTATGCCCTATTAGGAATTATTTGAACTATCCAAGTATGGTAAGATTTTCAGAGGACCTCGAAAGAGACTAAATATTGAAATTTCACCAAAATCACTGAAATTGAGTGGCATCTATGGCTTTAACTTATTTTAAAATCTCAGCTGACCACTTGGTAAGGAAAAACGAACCCAGACATAACAAACAGGTTTCCATTTACAATGAAACTGTCACAAAAATATTATTTTTTTTACCGGTGGAGTGCTGAAAATGTAGAAGGATGAACCCTTCAGTGCCAGAAACTTGAACTTGTAGAGCTGAGATGAATCAGTTCCTTCAAGTCTCTCATTTACCCATCCCATATGTACAACCTGTAAAAGAAAATAATTGAAAATTAAAGCTTTGGTTTTCAGTGGAGCATAAAATATATCTGATTAGGTCAAGTCTTTCCACAAGGAAGAGTGATCATATTAGAATAGGATGCCTCACCCCCTTCTTCACATTTGCCTTCCCAGAACTACACCACACTCCTGAAGTGAAGTCCTTGGAGAGACTTAAACTTACAGTACAGGTTGAAACTTGTCTGAAATAGTCACCATTTTAAAAGCCACCTATATATGTCTCAACAGACTCTCACTTAGGCCAGCAGAAAAATTAGGTGTACTGAAATAGTTCAGCCAGCAGTTTGTAAAAAAACCCCATGAGCCTACATTATCCATAGAACAGTCAAAACTTGGACATCCTAAAATTTCTATTATATGTACCTCTATAGAAATACATCTGAACAAATAATGAGATTTATCTGAAATCAAACAGCTTTCTGTATGCTCATGTTTGCCACTGTTAATGAAATGTCTTTGCCACACTGATTGTCTTCCAGGGTTTATATACTTTTTTACATACACTTTACCTCATGATAACTTATGTTGTCATACAATTAAATGTCAAATTCAGTTGTTACACAACTTTACTCTAACAGTATTACAATACATGTCTTTACATTTCAGATAAATTAATTTTAAGAAAAAAAAAAGTAAGACTATATGCTTCCTTTCTGAGGTAAATTCAAATTTAATAATGTCATAGTGTGGTAGTAGAATACCATGAATGTAGTTACTCACCAAAAATAACAGATGTAAACATTTTAGCCTTCAGTTTGCATACATTAAGAGGAACATGTTGCCCTTGAAACAGGTATTTGAATCTAGAGTGATCCACCAATGCGAATATACAGCTGTTGCTGATAAACTTGCTCATTTACAATTAGGGCTACACTTACAGAAAAGGCTGAGTATCACAGGGGTAGAAATGTCATAGCACTTGTGAATATACTGAGACCACAGAGCTTTGCTGGAAGTCAGTGGAAAGAGGCTGAAGAAGGCATTCGTTAACTTGCATGAAAACTTCAACATTTATTCTATGGATAGATTTGGGAAAAATGTGATGATCTCATGAATGCTTTTTTATTGAAAGCCCAGTGTGTGTACCTGTAGTTTTACCAACAGAGCACAAAGGAGGAAAGAATGGTCAGGGAGTAGTTAATAGCATAGATGCATGCTCATACTCTTATATCATGAAAATCTCACACATTGTTTTCTAATTTTGTTATTTAATATATCAATTATGTCTCTTACCAATCAACTTATTCAGAAACAAATAATAAATTATTATGTTGAGATAGACAATCCTTCTATATACTTTTTTTACTGAAATCCAGCACTAACACTTTAAGGGGATCTAGAAACAGCACAATAAATACAGTAGCTTTTCCAATTCTCACTTTGGTATTGTGCAAATTCAATAACTCTCACCAAAACATTGTTTCTATAGTAGTCAGCAAAGATTTAGAAAAAGGATGTTCAGATATTTTATTACTTTAACAAAATATACTGTAGTATGGTTGATAATCTACTACAAACTATATCGTATATTGAATTTATCAGTGTGGTAATATAATATCAAATAATACAGACAAAAAAAATAATGTCCAAATCATAGGGCGCAAACAATACAATATTCTCATTTACATTCATAAAGTTATGGTTGTTGACTTGCAAATAGACACCATTTATTAACCTCTCAGTATTAAAATATTTATAAAAAATGTAATTTACTGATTAAATTGATAAATTGTTAAGAAAAGGATATAGCTCGCTATTATGTTCTTCATTCATCATTGTTATCGTCACCATTTATTCTTTCTCACTCACCAAATAATTTTGGAATTATCCACAATGTCTAATGGCAAAACCAAGTACCGATAAAGTCTGCAACTTGCCCAAGTCATTCATCAATGATCATATATTAAAGAAAACAATATAGAAATATAACTATATATCTTGTTGCAAACAAAAGTTGTTAATTTAATATATTAAAAGAAGGAAAAAATGAAGTTCTTAGTTGAAATTCAGGGCAGGATGGTATTAGAAGACTGAAATTCCACTTGTCAAGATTGTGTTTTCACTTCAAAATATACATATGATTTGCTGTGATTGACAGGAAAAACCTGATTTATTTAGTTGACAGAAACCACAGGTTGGCCTGTAAGCACTGTTCCTAAGTACCAACAGTAGTGCAGAAGATAGCCATACAGTCTTTGAATAAAACTCCAAATTTGGAAAAAGGGCACTGAATTTCTCTAACTGAACTAACAAGAGATCTGTTTTTCAATGAAAATGTGCTTTATGTCAAAGTTTTCCATCTGTGAAATGGGAATAATTTCCTTTACGTATTCGTGTGAAGGCCCTATCGCTGTTGTATCCTTATCTATGGCTGCAAGATGTGATAGGAGTGCCATATGTTATAGCATTGACTTAATGTAGCATTTAATCTTCTGGATAATTCTCTTGAGGATGTATTTAGCTACAAACACAAGAATGCATTTTCTAATCAGTCGCAGACATTTTTTGGTCATGTGTTCTTAGTGTTTTACTGAAATGGAACATCATTATTATTATTACTATTCATCATCATTATTACTATTCATCATCATCATCATTATTATTATTATTATTATTATTATTATTATTATTATTATTATTATTATTATTATTATTATTATTATTATAGTTATACCATACTGTGACCAGTCTACATGTGGTAGATCAGAATCAAGAGACTTGGTTTGAACTACACCCTTCTCCACACAACAAATAAATTTCTATCGTTATTAACAGCTATAAACTGAATGTTAAGCTGTTCTGTATGTTGAAATCTCTTTCAACCTCAGACAAAAAAAAAAAAAAAGAATGATAAAAAACCACAGTCAGTGGATTAGATTTTGGGGAAATGGTCTTTCTATGTATTGAATTATTACAACATTGAAGTATCACTCTTGATCTATATGGGTTGTGATATAAGGTCACTTGTTCATTCCACTTCATCAAAGTCCACACAAAAGCAAACAGCAATACTTCAGTTACATTTTGAATAAATTGCACTGAATATTACTCTGATGGATTGAAATGACTAACAAAAACTCCAATTCCAGGAAAAAAGAACTTCAATCAGAAAAAAAACCCCAAATAATAGATCACCAAAACAAAGGGAATGTCTTAGAGCCCTTAAAAATAGAAAAAGATCCTCTATGTTTCTAAATTCGATTTTAATTCCAAGAGGTATCAGGAGCTGATTAAAAGTTTTTCAATTTTCATTTTCTTTAAAACTATTACTTAGCTTTTCATTGTCAACATAATTTGTGGAACAAGGAAACGATTATATGCCTCACAGTAGAAATAAGAAAAAATGGTCTGCTGATTTATATCTTACAAAAGAAAATAAAAACTTAGCTGAAAAAAATAACTAGCATATAATAGTTCAATGTCATTTAGGAAAAAAAAAAAAAAAAAGTAAAAACCCTTCAAAAAATCTTTAAAACCCAAAGATTATGGTTTGTGTGTTAACACCATGAAACACTTACCTAAGTAGTAAAGGTTCTAGTAAGCAAAATGTTGTAGTATTTCCTGAACTTTCTAAAAGCCACCTGTAAAATAAATGCCTACATCAAGTTGTTCCATTTTTTTTAATGAAGATGTGAAAAAATTCAACAAGTAGCACATTTGTCAATCAGTTTAAAATCTGGAGAAGAGTATCGCTGCAGAATACTGACTGAAGTCTCAGTACATATATACATTTAGGAAGACAAGTATAGTACAGGTAGAACAAACAGCCTTTTTGTTTGTTGATTGGGTTTGGAGTTTTTCTATGTTTAGGAGAAAAGCAAGGGTTGAATCGATTTAAATATGTATTTTTCCACCAAACAGGAAGCACTGAATGAGATACTTGGAAAGAAGCAATTGTCAGGCTAGGTAGCTGAAGAAGTATTGCTACTGGAAGGTAAGTGGTGATCTCAGTGAGTTTAGAGCTGCATTACTTCCATTTGCATGGGTTGGAAATATCGGGATGGAAAGCTAAAAAGTAAGTACTAGTGAATATGGAGGAGCAAGAGGAAAAGACAAAGCAAAAGATATTTAGCAGAAAAATAAATTAATTTAGTAAGACCAAAAATAAAGAAACGTGAGAACATATGAAATTAAAATGAAAAGAACAAAAGGAAGGACACTATACAAGTATATAAAGGAGGGAAAAATCAATGAAAACATATTTGGGAGGAAAAACATAAAGAAAAGAAGATTCCAAATGTATACTTGCCTATAAAGACACAAAGCCCTTAAAAAAGTAAAGAAGGAAAATAGAAGACTTTCTTGTATCAGAATCAGTGTTTGATTAACTTATGCATATATTGAAAAAATAATAAAATTATGCATCTTTTTATACAGATAATAAACAATCTAATATATTTTTTTACTTTCTTTACACACATATTTCTTATTGACTGGTTTATTTAATAGTCATTTACACCATAGAAATGGAGAAGGAATAATTATTCAGTTCAACAAAAGTCTGTATGGAACAGAAGCAATCAAGTGTTATACTCAGTAACAAACTGTGGTTCATAAGCAGGCTACCAAGATTTTAACTGGGTTTCAGTACATGGGTGGGAATATTAGTCTTGAGACAAAAACTGCTATGCTATTTGGATTGAAACGTGCCATTTGAAGTTTTTAGGACTGCCCATAAGGCATAACACTACAAACTGTCCCATTCTCAGCATTGCTTTCACCATTTATTCCCATACTGCATGATCAATTTGAGACTGCTATTTGAAACTGCGTGGAAAATTACCCATACATCTGGAAAACTACCCATACATCATCAATGTATTATTAAGCTTCTAACATGTTCTAATACACTTTCTAAAAGTTCCTGTAGGAACAAAATGAGCAATGGCACTCATTATGAGGAGATAAAATAAGTCACTAACAAAATGTAATCCAATCATAGCAGATAAATGAAAGTTCTTATTTGCATT